CATAAGTTTACAAACGCCATGAGCCATAGCTCTATACTCTGCTTTAGCATTGGACTTGGCCACCAGATACTGTTTTTTACTACACGAAGTAACCAGATTCTCTCCTACAAAAGTGCAATATCCAGAGGAATATCTCCTATCATCAATTGAACTTGCCAATTAGTATCACTAAATGTCTCTAACCTCAAGTGGCCATGGTTAGAGAATGACATGCCTTTTTCTAGAGTGGACTTAAGATACCTTATAATTCTGTAAGTAGTATCTAAGTGCACTGTGCAAAGGTCATGCATAAACTGGTTAACAAGCCCCACCACATAAGCAATATTTGACCGACTATGAGCTTAGTATATCAATTGCCCAATTAGTTGTTGGTACATTTCTTTATCCACATGGTCACTTACGTCATTGCTCAGTCTATGATTTGCCTTAATTGGTGTGTCTGATGGGCTACATCCCAACATGCTAGTCTCTTCAAGTAGGTTAAGAACATATTTTCTCTGAGATAAATAGATGTTATTAGATCTAGTAGCCTCTATTCCAAGAAAGTACTTCAATAGACCTAAATCTTTGATTTCAAACTCCCTTGCCAAGTATAATTTTAGGCGAGACATCTCCGTCATATCATTATTTGTAACTACTATGTCATCCACATAAACAATAAGAACAATAATTTTATCAGCATTATGTTTGAGAAACATGGTGTGGTTTGCATTGTTAGAATAATTATTATATTTAGACTTAGGGGTAGTTTAGTCATTTGTTTTCTTTTATGTTGTCCTAGCTTAGTTTACTATATAAAGACCTCTTATATGCAGTTTTCCTTCAAACTTTATTCTGGCTAATTGTGCCACAATAATATTCTCTTATTTCTTGCTCTTACTTTTCTTTGATTGATCAAAGTTAACATGGTATCAGAGTATGATTTCGATCCAAAATATATATTGTAATGAACAGTGTCGAAAGTACTATTCACGCGCTGTGAACGATATCGACGTTACTGTTCATGTTGTGAACAGTGTCGGATTTCAATTTTTAGTGCCTTTTTTGGTGTTTTGCTGCCTCTGTTTGTCTTCTGGATTTTTGAAAGTTATGAAATTTGGGTTGTCTAGTTGCTGGATTGCTGGTTTGATTTATTGGCTCGAGATGTTTGTATTAAGGCCAATTGAGCATCTGCTTCTTCGTTGGTTTCTGGTTTGTGAAGTTGGTACGTTGGGATCTACTGTTTGGATTGCTATTTTTGTTGACTTACTGCTGCCTCTTCTCTTCTGTTGGTGCTTCTTCTTCTTCTGCTTCTTTTGGTTGCTAGTCTGGTTGTTTCTTCTTCGTTTGCTGTTGTTGCTTTGGGCTTTTGGACTGGTTTGTTGATTGGTTGGTTTTGTGCATTGGTGAGTTGTCACGTTACTGGTTTTTGATTTGTTCGTTTGGGCTTGCTATTTGACATAGCGTTACATTGTTTTGCACTGANGCTTTATTCTGGCTAATTGTGCCACAATAATATTCTCTTATTTCTTGCTCTTACTTTTCTTTGATTGATCAAAGTTAACATGGTATCAGAGTATGATTTCGATCCAAAATATATATTGTAATGAACAGTGTCGAAAGTACTGTTCACGCGCTGTGAACGATATCGACGTTATTGTTCATGTTGTGAACAGTGTCGGATTTCAATTTTTAGTGCCTTTTTTGGTGTTTTGCTACTGTCTTGTTGTTTTGCTGCCTCTGTTTGTCTTCTGGATTTTTGAAAGTTATGAAATTTGGGTTGTCTAGTTGTTGGATTGCTGGTTTGATTTATTGGCTCGAGATGTTTGTATTAAGGCCAATTGAGCATCTGCTTCTTCGTTGGTTTCTGGTTTGTGAAGTTGGTACGTTGGGATCTACTGTTTGGATTGCTATTTTTGTTGACTTACTGCTGCCTCTTCTCTTCTGTTGGTGCTTCTTCTTCTTCTGCTTCTTTTGGTTGCTAGTCTGGTTGTTTCTTCTTCGTTTGCTGTTGTTGCTTTGGGCTTTTGGACTGGTTTGTTGATTGGTTGGTTTTGTGCATTGGTGAGTTGTCACGTTACTGGTTTTTGATTTGTTCGTTTGGGCTTGCTATTTGACATAGCGTTACATTGTTTTGCACTGAATAAGCAGGAAACTTTTGTTTCTATTTGCATTGATTCGCATTTGAATAAGCAGCAGAAAACTTTTGTTTCAATTTGCATTGTTTCGCACTGATTAAGTAGAAAACTTTTGTTTTTACTTTTGATTGGTGGGTTTGAGCCTTTGAGGCTGATTTTGTGAACGAACTGCTAGGTGAGTATTTGATTTGTAAAGTTGATTTGTGGCGAACTTTGGATTGTTTGGCGTTGGCTACTTCTTTTGGTTCTAGTTTTTGATTTTGACTATTGTTGGTTTGGAACTAGTTCTGGTTTGTTTTTTTTCTTTGTTGGGCATTGTTGCTAGTGGTTTTGGTTGAGCTTTGATTTTCTTTTGGACCTCTCATTGCTATTTGATCGTCTCTGGAACTTTGAGCTTATTTTGATGCGGACTGGACTGGTGACTATATGGATCGCAAGTCCACTACTGGTTTCTGTCTCTTCATTGGTGATTGTCTTATTTCGTAGAAATGTAAGAAACAAACTGTTGTGGCTCGATCATCTGCTGAAGCTGAGTATCGTGCTATGACTTTCATAACAGCAAAAATAGTTTGATTGTTTTGGCTACTTGCTGATTGTTTCTTTACGAAATCTCACACCATGACACGTTTTCATTTTTTTCTTAGCAAACTCTTGATGTTTGATGTTACCACATCATGAGTTTGAAGGAGGGTGTTAGAATAGTTATTATATTTAGACTTAGGGGTAGTTTAGTTATTTGTTTTCTTTTATGTTGCCCTAGCTTAGTTTACTATATAAAGACCTCTTATATATAACTTTCCTTTAAACTTTGTTCTGGCTAATTGTGCCTCAATAATATTCTCTTTTTTTTTTTGAATTCTTCTTTGCTTTTGTCGAGTTCCAGTCCATCAATTTCAGCAAAATCAACGCACTCTATGTTTTCCTCAGGTCGATTCAACACTTTTTGCTCAACATTTAGCTTGTTCAAACGACCTTGTTCTTCTTTCTCATCATCCCCTTTCGTCGCATCCTCTTCTCACTCTCTCTACCAACCTTTGAACCCTAACCTTGAGGTTGGCATTTGTTTTCTTTTATGTTGCCCTAACTTAGTTTACTATATAAAGATCTCTTATATGTAGTTTTCCTTTAAGCTTTGTTCTGGCTAATTGTGCCTTAATAATATTCTCTTCTTTCTTCCTCTTACTTTTCTTTGATTGATCAAAGTTAACATGCATTACTTTGCTTGTATCCAAACCTAGCATTGCTTTGAGAAATCGCCTAAACCAAGTTCTAAGAGACTATTTCATGCCATAAAATGCTTTCCTCACTTTGCATATCCTTCCAACAGTAGAGTGAGAAAAAATCTGATGGAATATTCATATAAATCTTTTCCTCCAAGTCACCATAAAGGAATGCATTCTTCACATCTAGTTATGTAAGGACCAATCTATATTAGTGGCACAAGAAAGAAGAGTGCGAATGGNAACCAAGTTCTAAGAGACTATTTCATGCCATAAAATGCTTTCCTCACTTTGCATATCTTTCCAACAGTAGAGTGAGAAAACATCTGATGGAATATTCATATAAATCTTTTCCTCCAAGTCGCCATAAAGGAATGCATTCTTCACATCTAGTTATGTAAGGACCAATCTATATTAGTGGCACAAGAAAGAAGAGTGCGAATGGAATTCATCTTCACAATAGGTGCAAATGTCTCTTGGTAGTCAATGTCATAAGTCTGAGTAAAAACTTTGGCAACCAACCTTGCTTTATATCTTTCAATTGGTCCATTTGCTTTCTGTTTAATAGTAAAGACCCATTTACAATCTACAAGTCTCTTCCCAGTTGAAAGTGAGTTTCTCAAGTATCATTCTTTCTTAGAGCTTTCATTTCCTCTACCATAACTTCTTTCACTTAGGATCTGCAAAAGCTTCTTTCTAATCNATTTACAATCTACAAGTCTCTTCCCAGTTGAAAGTGAGTTTCTCAAGTATCATTCTTGCTTAGAGCTTTCATTTCCTCTACCATAACTTCTTTCACTTAGGATCTGCAAAAGCTTCTTTCTAATCCTGTGGAATAGATACAGAAGACAAAGACAAAACAAACACGATACGAAGACAAGGTGTTATAAGAAACAAAGTTAGAAATTGGATGTTGATTGCAAGATCTCACACCCTAGGAAGAGAACAATTATCCACATCTATAACAAGAGATGAAAACTTATCTTTTGAAGCCTCTGTGAGAGAATCCGAAACTGAAGTTGGGGATACCAATTGACTTGGTTGCACATGGATGATCTGCCTTTTTGCACGTCGAGAATAAGTCTGAAGATTAGGTCTATCCAACCGTTCACCAATATTATGTTCTTTTTCGGTACACTTGTATTTCTTCTCCTCACTAGTATATTTGTCTTCCTCCCTCTTACCACAAACAATCTCTCTTGACAAAGGAAGACAAAATGAGAGCTTCTCTCGTTGCCTCTCTTCTCATTACCAATCTCCTCCTAAAGAGAGGACTGAGATAAAGTAAAGTAGGGTTCGGTCTCACGAAATGTGACATCCATGCTAACATATTTCTTGTGAGACCGAGGATCATAACATGTGTAACCTTTCTAAGTCAGAGTATCGAACAAAGACACAACGCACATCCTTAGGATCGAGTTTGCCTCGAGAATGAGGCGAGACGTGAATAAAACAAGTACACCCAAATACCTTGGGAGAAAGAGAGGAAGGAGAAAGGGACCTAGGGAGAAGTTCAAGAGCAACCTTAAATTGATGAACACTAGAGGGTGTGCGATTAATAAGATATGCAACAGTAAGAAACAACATCCCCACCCCTCAAAAGGTGCCGAGAACATTCATAGTGAACATAAGAGTACGACCAATTTCAACCGGGTGCTCAGTAACCCCATTTTGTTTAGGAGTACTTGCACAACTTATCAGATAAAGAATACCATAACCATACTCTTCAAGGTATGCTTGAAATTCACGATCAATATATTTAGTCCCATTATCACTCCTAAAGGTTTTAATGGTAGTATCAATTTGGTTAGTCACTATCTTATGAAAAGCTTTAAAGTAGGAAAATACTTCATTCTTGGGTCAAAGTAAATACACCCAAGTAACATGAGAATAACAATAGATGAATGTAACAAGCCAACGATAACTAAAACGAGAAACAACTCGAGAGGGCCTTACACATCAGAATGAACAAACATAAAGGGAAAATCACTTCTTTTATTAATGGAAATATAACATGAACGTATATGCAAACTCATAACTATCACAAACAAAACTGTTCCTATGACATGATTTAACTAACATATGAAAAAGTTTCTCCAAAATACCAGAGGAAGGATGTCCTAAACGGCTGTGCCACTGAAATAAGAGTGAAAAAGGAGACGCAGTATCCACTTGTAGAGCCTGACCCAAAGGCAACGTTGATAAAGATACATCATCCAACAGATACAAACCACCATCCACTCTACCACTGCCAATTATTTTCCCTGTTTGCAGTCTGAAACACACAATGAGTAGGAAAAATGTTACAGGGAAGTTTAAGGAATTAGTAATATGACTAACAGAGAGTAAATTGGTAGAAAAGTTTGGAACATGAAGAACAAATGAAAGGGAAAAGGAGGGAGAGCATTGGACAAACCCGTTTCCAGAAACAGAGGAAAATAGGCATTAGCAATTGGAGGATAATAGTACTTATACTTTTTTTCTAGAGTTGTTATAAAAAATGGGATCTGTTTTATTTCTGTTTAATTTCATGAGATTTGCACTTAATATATATTTTTCATCTTAAATGCGCGCAGGACACATTAGCTTCTACTTTCCAGGATCAAGGTCAATTTTTACCGGAGACACTTTGTTCAGCTTATCATGTGGCAAGCTTTTTGAAGGAACTCCTGAGCAGGTATATTTACAGTCGCAGTTGTGTTCAACTTGTCATGTAGCTTCTTTCTGTAGTTTATATTGATTTCTTTTAAACTGGTCACACTTTGTGTGTTTAGATGGATCTCTTTGAAATTTAAAAAATTGATATTACAGTATTTGTCGATTGTTGACATCATCTGTTTGTCCGTATAATGGTTTCAGTGATATTGCCATGTATGCTAGTGGCACTGTAGAATATATTAAGAGAAATCATAATGGTAACCTCTGTCAAATCACCTGAATTAGGCTTTATTTTTCTCTATATATTCACAATTGAAGAATGTGAGATCGTAATTATTTCAATATTTGACGTCACAACAGAAATTACACAGCCAGTTAAAAAAAAAAGAAATTACAAAGATATAACCTTTATGCTTACAGTCTATTTATCAGTGTCCCCTTTTCCAACGTAATTCTCTGTTTTGGTTCTACATTTTGGAAGGAATGACCACCGGACTGCACCAGTGGAGTCACTGGCTGTCTTAAAGACAGTTGAAATAGCTAAATCAGTTTGGGCACCCTAATTCTACGATTAACCTTTTTGTGCTAATCTACTTATGGTAATTATATTCTATTTTTGATGGGAACTTGGGGCTATTATATTCTTCAATATCTACTGAATCCTCACTCTTAATACGTAAATATGGTTGAAATCCTTGGTTTTTGCTTTTCCTTATAGCAATTATATATATATTTTTCTCTTTGCGGGTTCATGTCGTGTCATATCTGTGTTCTGTAACCGTATCCATGCTTTTTAGTTTAAGAGGCCTGGCTTGAATTGTTGGTACCAGTTCCTATAATCTGTATAGGAATTTTGGTAACCATGGTCGGGACTGAACATGCTCTTGCTTTGGTGGATGACTCCATGTCATGGAGATCAAGATTTTCTGTTTGAGTATGCCTTCTATTATTAGGACTACAGTTTGATTCCAGAACAGTGTCATGTTAGACATGAAAACTTCAGTGCTTGCGAAGTGTGCGTATAACAGACTGTAAGGAAAAGCTAAAGATGGTGAAAAGGTTCTCATATCTTTTGTCTTCAGGTCTCCTAACAATTCATTCTTTGTGTTCCAGATGTTTTCTTCCCTTACGAAGATTATGTCTTTGCCAGATGACACAAATGTGTACTGCGGGCATGAATATACACTGGTAAAGTCATGTTTGCCTTCACCATGTTATGCTCTAAACTACCCATTTACTCAATTCTCTCAACCTCAGAGGGCTCTAATAATCTTGAATATGCTTTGACAGAGTAATTCAAAGTTTGCGTTGTCTATAGAACCTGGTAATGAAGAATTGCAGTCTTATGCTGCCCACATTGCCCATCTCCGAAATAAGGGTTTGCCAACGGTAATATCCATTCTTTCAATGCAAACTTATTATATAGGACAGCATCTCATGTTGAGATCTTTACCTCTGTGACTTGAGTCATGTTACTATGCATTTGGTGAGAAAGCCTGCCAATCACAGTGACAATAGAGAGTTTACAATATCAAATCTGGTTGAAATTTATATTTGTGTTTTAGTGATTGAAAGCCAAATGCCACCATTGTGGCACTTTTTAGGTGGAGACTGGAGTATTGTTTTACTGTGTTGATGTCTCGTGCATTTGATAGGTCATTAACCTTTGTCATTTACAGTTGTAACTCGATACAACCTCAATTCCTCATTTTTTTGACTTAATTTAACAATTGCAATTTTTTTACTCTTCCCACACCCTCAATGTGAATGGCTTCTGTTGTCCGAAAATTGGGAGCTCTGGAATTTCAAAACAGATATTCCATTTCAACACCNATTTAACAATTGCAATTTTTTTACTCTTCCCACACCCTCAATGTGAATGGCTTCTGTAGTCCGAAAATTGGGAGCTCTGGAATTTCAAAACAGATATTCCATTTCAACACGAGCTTTGGTTGGCCGAGGTTCATAATTGACTTTACTTATTGACATCTGGATTCTATGTGGGCACATATATGGTGGCCTGAGGCTCAGTTTCAGTTGAGCTGACCACAGTCAACTTGTGTCTTTATTACTGAAAGCTTATTTAATATTGCTTCAATTCCTTGTGGAGCTGTTTTTATAGATGTGCAAAGTGACTTGAAACATAAAATTGACCCGTGTAGGCCCTTCTCAAAGCATGTTCAGTTTGATGTGCTTCACAGAGGCTTGGCCTTTGTCTGAACTTAAACCTAACTCGATTGAGTGGAGGCACTCGGCTATTTGGTAACCCCAGTTCTCACTGATTGTCATGGTGTATTTATCAAATAAGGCCATCGGAGTGTTATCTGTTTAACATGGTTTTTACCTGCGTTGTTTACCATCTTTTCTCCTGTTGAATGTCTGCATGTTTAAATTTCTCTTTGATTATGTCTGACTATGGTTGTGTTCTTTTAGATTCCTACTTTGCTAAAGAAGGAGAAGTCATGTAATCCATTCCTCCGCACTTCAAGTATGGAAATCAGGCGGTCATTAAACATTCCAGCCACCGCAAATGATGCAGAAGCCTTGGGTGTCATCCGTCGTGCCAAGGATAACTTTTAGGATACTGACTTATCTTATTGCTATGTAGAATCAATTCTTCTTTTACCGTAATTTGAGAAAGCATGCTTTCTTGAAAAGAATGCAGTTTGGTAACTAAGTAATGCTACGGTATTCTGGTTAAAAAGCTAAAAAAACCTGTATGTATAGGAGACGTGAGTCCATCCGTCTGTGCAATAAATCACATTCAGATTCATTGCCTCTTATGTATACTTTCCTCTTGTTTTGGCTGTTTTGATCTGCTAAAGTTCTCAAGTGCAGTTATTCAATATTCTGTTCTTTGAGAAAATTCTTTTGAACAAATCCTACAGCTGGCTTGAAAATGCTCTTGTGGATTACGTCCTCTTTGGATGACTTAAAAACGTTCTTTTTATCCTTACAATTGAGCTTGACAATGTTATCATAAAGCACAATAAAGATCAAGATTATTTAGATTTGACCTTGTACGATTTATAGTTTAACCTTTTAACTACATATTTAGATTTGACCATCTACAATGCAGTTGAAAGCTTGAAGCTACGTTTCTAGTAAGATTCGATCTCAGATTGTCTGGCATGAACAACCATTTAGAAAAGTCACTTTGCTTCAAGAATCCATACAAGTTCAAAGCATTTGTTGTAGAAAGTTGAACACTGTTCTCTTTGGCAGGATAATGATATAGTTGATGGATTGGTTGACCAAACAAGTATTTCCTCCGTCTCTAGTATTTCCCAGACTTGATTTGTTTAGTCATGTAGTACCATCTAACCTTACCAATCCATGACTCACCCGTGAATAACTTTGGAGGTTCAAACCACTTTGAGTAGGAAAACCCATTTGCAACGACACTCACGAGACTATGATACGATCTGTTAACATGGATTTTTAAATAAGTAGATTGGGTTAGTATAAACATATTGATTTTGTATGAAATGTGGAATATCTTTTTTTGACACAAATTTTGTTTTAACGGCTCTTGTATTTAAAATCGAACTGAATGATTTTTGTATTTTATTTTTCTATGTTGCGGATCAAATATATTCATAATTAATAAGGGTTATGTAGTGGGTTTGATCACAAGAAAAGTTCTAATTCTGGAATTTCGGGTTCATGAGTTGTTTTTATCAAATTCAATACGACACAAACTTGTTACAATCTAAAATAATATGATTCGAATATGATATGACTTAAATATAATACGCAACGACTCAATTATCACTCCCCATTTCTAGGGACCCAGATATGGGTGCGGTGGGGAGACCGACCCAAGAAAAACAAAAGAAAATTCTCTTCAATAGCCCAAACCCACAATGCATAGAAGTTCTTCCTCCTATATTTATTTTCAACCAGTAACTGTAGAAGTTGTTACTATTTTGAAGTAGGTCACCCACTGAGCTTGATCATTTTCTTTGGAGCCGAATAACAATAGTCTCCCTAAGAGTTTGTAAAATCTTTAGTTTACCGCTTAAAGATCGTTCGAATCTCAATTTTCTCTCTCAAAGATCAAAAATCTCAATTTAGACTCTAAATGTGAGGGGGTCTAAATGAATAAGTAACAAGTATGAGGAAATGTAAGTGTAATTTATTCATTTAGTTTTAGATGATAAATTAATGGTTGTTAGTTTCAGGTGTGCATTGATATAATTTTTTTTATCTTTGAGGGTTCAAATTAAAATTGAACGATCTTTTGGGGTATAATTTATAATTAACCCTAAAAATTAAGGTAAAAAGGAAAAATCATAGTCGGTTCCTAAACTCTGTTCTTGGTTTTAATTTAGTGTCTAAACTTTCAATTGTCTTAATTTAATCCATCAACTATAAATTTTATCTCAATTAAATCATTCCATCAATTTCCACCATTAAATCAACAGTGAAATGAATTAGATTGGACTAGTCTTTAGTTGATCTAGCGATGAAAATTAATGGAAGGACTTAACTAATATGAAATTGATAGTTGATCAGTGATTAAATTGAGACAATTGTAAGTTCCATAGATCAAATTGATATCGAAAGTAGAGTTTAAGGACCAACTACGATTTTACTCTAAAAATTACAGATCTCACATGGTACCCTTTGTTTTTTTTTGTTTTTTTTCATAATGATAGCTACATGTCTCTAAATTTTTTTAAATAGTAGCAATGTACTCTAAAAGCAAAACACCGTTTGTTTTTCATACATGCCATATCCATTGTGTGAAAGACAAAAAAAAAACATGTAGCTCTGTGCAATCGAAATTTTTTAATTTTAAAGTGATAATGAAGTAGATATTTTAAAAAATTATTCTGAGGTCACAGTATCATTCACCCTTTTCTTTTTAAAGATCGAGTGCCTAAGATATCTCCTGCGATTAATTAATGCCATCAAATCATTATTTCTTTTAAAGAACTGTTTCACAAATTAATGATATATAATACTTGCTACATTATATTTCATGGGTTTCGCTTCTTAAAGCCAAAATAGAATTATTTGGTTTATGAATATCTATTCTAATAAGGAGGCCGTACTTACAAATCATAGATAGAGAGAGAATGGTGCATTTAATATTGCTATATCACAATGTTTAATTTGTGGAGAAGTCTACGGTACCCAAAAAAATATTCTATACAAATTTGAGTTAACGTTTGAGTCTATCCATTTTTACTTAAATTTGAGTTAGTATTTGAGTAAAAAGTTTCATTACATACAATTGGTTCCAATGGCCAAACTCAAACTTAAAAAAGGACAAACTAAAATTTAAAAGTGGGTGAAGTATGATTATTAGATCTTTAAAGTAGAATGAAATCTTAGAGCATTTCCAACAATGACTCAACTTTTTATTTAAATTTAAATTAACATTTGAGTAAAACAACTTGATTTGATACAAATGGCTCCAATGAATAAACTCAAATTTAAAAAATGTCAAACCCAAATTTAAAAGAGAGTAAAGATTACCATTGAATCTTTAAAAGAGGGTGAAATAGCACCATTAAATATTTGAGTAAGAATTTGAGTTTCTTTTGATTTGTGTAAAAAAATTAATCTCCCTTGATTTGATATAAGTTTGAGTCANAACCCCAGTTCTCACTGATTGTCATGGTGTATTTATCAAATAAGGCCATCGGAGTGTTATCTGTTTAACATGGTTTTTACCTGCGTTGTTTACCATCTTTTCTCCTGTTGAATGTCTGCATGTTTAAATTTCTCTTTGATTATGTCTGACTATGGTTGTGTTCTTTTAGATCCCTACTTTGCTAAAGAAGGAGAAGTCATGTAATCCATTCCTCCGCACTTCAAGTATGGAAATCAGGCGGTCATTAAACATTCCAGCCACCGCAAATGATGCAGAAGCCTTGGGTGTCATCCGTCGTGCCAAGGATAACTTTTAGGATACTGACTTATCTTATTGCTATGTAGAATCAATTCTTCTTTTACCGTAATTTGAGAAAGCATGCTTTCTTGAAAAGAATGCAGTTTGGTAACTAAGTAATGCTACGGTATTCTGGTTAAAAAGCTAAAAAAACCTGTATGTATAGGAGACGTGAGTCCATCCGTCTGTGCAATAAATCACATTCAGATTCATTGCCTCTTATGTATACTTTCCTCTTGTTTTGGCTGTTTTGATCTGCTAAAGTTCTCAAGTGCAGTTATTCAATATTCTGTTCTTTGAGAAAATTCTTTTGAACAAATCCTACAGCTGGCTTGAAAATGCTCTTGTGGATTACGTCCTCTTTGGATGACTTAAAAACGTTCTTTTTATCCTTACAATTGAGCTTGACAATGTTATCATAAAGCACAATAAAGATCAAGATTATTTAGATTTGACCTTGTACGATTTATAGTTTAACCTTTTAACTACATATTTAGATTTGACCATCTACAATGCAGTTGAAAGCTTGAAGCTACGTTTCTAGTAAGATTCGATCTCAGATTGTCTGGCATGAACAACCATTTAGAAAAGTCACTTTGCTCCAAGAATCCATACAAGTTCAAAGCATTTGTTGTAGAAAGTTGAACACTGTTCTCTTTGGCAGGATAATGATATAGTTGATGGATTGGTTGACCAAACAAGTATTTCCTCCGTCTCCAGTATTTCCCAGACTTGATTTGTTTAGTCATGTAGTACCATCTAACCTTACCAATCCATGACTCACCCGTGAATAACTTTGGAGGTTCAAACCACTTTGAGTAGGAAAACCCATTTGCAACGACACTCACGAGACTATGATACGATCTGTTAACATGGATTTTTAAATAAGTAGATTGGGTTAGTATAAACATATTGATTTTGTATGAAATGTGGAATATCTTTTTTTGACACAAATTTTGTTTTAACGGCTCTTGTATTTAAAATCGAACTGAATGATTTTTGTATTTTATTTTTCTATGTTGCGGATCAAATATATTCATAATTAATAAGGGTTATGTAGTGGGTTTGATCACAAGAANGTATTTTATTTTTCTATGTTGCGGATCAAATATATTCATAATTAATAAGGGTTATGTAGTGGGTTTGATCACAAGAATAGTTCTAATTCTGGAATTTCGGGTTCATGAGTTGTTTTTATCAAATTCAATACGGCACAAACTTGTTACAATCTAAAATAATACGATTCGAATATGATATGACCTAAATATAATACGCAACGACTCAATTATCACTCCCCATTTCTAGGGACCCAGATATAGGTGCGGTGGGGAGACCGACCCAAGAAAAACAAAAGAAAATTCTCTTCAATAGTCCAAACCCACAATGCATAGAAGTTCTTCCTCCTATATTTATTTTCAACCAGTAACTGTAGAAGTTGTTACTATTTTGAAGTTGGTCACCCACTGAGCTTGATCATTTTCTTTGGAGCCGAATAACAATAGTCTCCCTAAGAGTTTGTAAAATCTTTAGTTTACCGCTTAAAGATCGTTCGAATCTCAATTTTTTCTCTCAAAAATTAAATATCTCAATTTAGACTCTAAATGTGAGGGGGTCTAAATGAATAAGTAACAAGTATGAGGAAATGTAGGTGTAATTTATTCATTTAGTTTTAGATGAT